GACTAATCAAGTACTACACTTTCCCGAGCCCCACAAGGGTGATGAGAAAGGCTGAATAAAAATACTCATTGCAACCACATAAATGAAAATAGCGACGTATATGCCCAGACAGGTGAACATCAAGACGCGCTCCCATTTAATAATCTGCAATTCTTTCAAAAGCTAGTTGAAGTACTTTAAAATGGCTAATAAGCAAAAAATCTTAAGAATCTCTGCAAAATTCAGACAAATCTAGCGTTTTTCCTGATAAAATGTCATAAAAATAACCTTAAGATTGTACAAAAGTACGATCCCCATTAATAGTCCAGTTACTGCTCCCGCTAAATGAGCAGTATAAGAAACTCGTTCACACTCTTCAACCACTATTCTACGAGAAATTGCACTTCCGACATCGAAGAGGACAAAAATTGTTATGACTACCACTCTAACAATCCGAAATGGCATTTCTGCCCAGTTCTGAAAAAAATAAAAATAAATTCATTCTAGTAAATGCCAGTCAGTAGAGACCAGAGAAGTTAAACAAATTCTCCACCGTGAAACGTACAATAATGATATTGGAAACATGTGCAGCAATAAGGGCGTACACTCCTGCTGAACAGCCTATCAAGTAAACGGAAGGGTCGAGTACATACTGGAGTAATGCACCTAGAACATAAGAACCTCTAAATATTACTGATACAATGCTTCCCACGAGAACTAAAATGAATACTTCTTTGGTACCACATAATAACACTTTAGTTTATTTTTTAAGTTTACTTTAGTTTAACACTTTAGTTTACTCCTCAAAATGAATACTTCTTTGGTACCACATAATAAAACTTTAGTTTATCTACATGAGTTTCCAAAGAGCCACAAGGCACAAGAGTGTCCCTGGAATTCTCCCAGTACGGAAGAGTCCCTCAGGAAATCTGAAACACGGAAATCGATTTTAACTCAGCAATTCGCAAAAAACTGACCTAGACAAACTGCTAATAGGTACAGTGGCGCCACCCGCCAGCTTTTATGTACAAGTTCCAAAGGTATACCAATCATCAATTGGCATATTACGTTGGGAATAAGATGGAAAAGCCTAAAATATTAACTTCTCACTATCTTGGCAACAGTTTGCAATATTACGTGGAACAGTTACAAGAAAGACAACAAGAAAACTAAAGTTTTCTGAAGATATACTGACGGATGAACTATGTAGGATAACTAAGACTATTTTTTTGACTGATAGTTAAAACTGTTACTGCCAAGTTAAAAAAAAGAGCAAAAAGCAATGACTCAGCTACATTGTATGAACATTTAAGGGCGGAAAGTCACCACACTACTCCTCAAACGACTTAACAAAAATCAAAGCGAGTCAAGCTAAAAGACAAAACTAAAATAAAAACTTCAACAGCATCCCGAGCTGAGTCATATTTCAAACGAAATGGAAAAATTTTAACGATTATTAAAATCAATGAACTCGATTAGTTCTAAAAATGTTTATCGACAGGTACTAGTAAAATGGTTACACCTTTTCCCTAATAAAACTAACACTCTGCCAATGTTCCGCTAGTAGGATTCAAAATTATTTTTTCAAAACCTACATTAAAGAATTTGATGAAAAAATCAGTTCTGATAGTTAGCAAGTAAACCTCAAAATTAAAAATTTGAAAAGTGGTATATTATTGATCCTGCTAAAACAACCCATGGCATATCATAACAAAAAAAAAAAATTTATCCTTCCTCTAAATGAAAAAAAAAAGTGTTTTCAGAGAGCAGAATTTATAGTTATCTGCAGACTCTATCGACACTTCTAATCAATACTGCACCAGTGGTACGAAATATATACTAACTAAAATTAGTTCCCGTCTCCTTGCAACTCCTCAATGAAGCAAGCAGTACTACTTTCATTCAGCACTGATGCTGTGCAGACTGTCACCAAATAATGCAAAAACAACAAATTTATGCCGAGGAAACGACTGAAAAAAGTTTAAAGTTAGAAAACGATATGTTAGATTTAACCAAAAAAATATCGTCACACCAGAAAAAATGCCCTTAAAGAGCAGTCGAATAAATTCCGTATAAGTCCGCTTCATAAACGTTACAGGGATCAGAAACCCATCAAAGTTTTTTCCTTTTTTTTTTTTTTAGTTATTCAGAGATGCATTGCAGTTACTGCACTTTACATCTACATTTATCACATTTATTTCGAAAGCAGTTCTTTTTTCCCCTATGTATGAAGCAATAATCCCTTCCATTTTCACTTCTAGCTGCACCTCTTTCCCCCAGTGAGGTTACAAAAGGAATGCGCTTAAGTAGTTTTCTAACTCCCAAGATTTACTCATGTCTTCATCAGAAGAATGAAGGCGGTTGAAATGCACCTTTATCAGAAAAAGGAAGAATAAAAAATTCCATGCCGCTATAAAACCATTGTAGTTCAAAACTGTTCAATCAAAACTATTTGAGAAAGAGAGTTAGTCCTTATTTACTCAAAAAGTTCACAATAAAATACTGTTTACCCCTGATGAATGAACTGATATGTTACAAAACGCCAGACTTCTTTTCGCAATGAGGGCGCAAAAAGTAACGGTCCCGGGCTCCCGTCGGGTAGGAAACATCCTGCACAAAAATATGCTGGAGATGCATCTTCATCATTCATGTAATAAATAACGAAAGTTAGAACCTAAAAAAGCAAAATAAAATAATCTCAATTCACGCACAAACGATCGCAGAAAAGCTTAATCGTAATTCAGAAACTGGAAAGCTCAAATTTTTGTGACGTCAAGAATTGATAAATTAAAATGCAACGCTTTAGTTAAAGCAAGACTAAATAGGTAATTTGAGGCCATTTAAATTTAGCTCCATCCGGACATCATAAAGCAGCGGTAATTTAAAAACATTAACAATTGTTTAATTATTAAAAACATTAATAACCTGAATAAGACTGATTAAAATAATGAACAAAGGAGGAGGGAAGCAATTATACTCGTCGAGGTAGGTATGAACAGCAGGTCTCTCTGTTTTTGAGATAACTGTGTCGGCAACAGAGTACAAAAACCGTATTTTCTTGCTTTCTTGAGCTTGAGCTGAAGTAATCTAAAAAATTTCAGACACGCTTTTCAAAGTTTCCAAAGAGTAAAAAAAAAAAGAAAAAAAAAATGAAAATATTGCAAATCAACAACAGACTAGAAAACAAACTTCTGGTTCCAAAATGAGAAATTTTAAAGGAGGACTCATGTTGTCTATCACAATATTAAAATAAGATTACTTACAAGAAGCATAAACTCATTGAGATCCAAAACATTGTCGCGGTTATTGTCTGCTGCTTCCAATAAAGCTAGTATTTGGCCATCTTTAAGATTTACCTAAACTATAGAATATGCTAAAACTATTTCATAAATTTCAATTCTAGGTTTGAAAGTAGTCTCTGAAGCAAACCTGCCGCTTGTTTTCACTTAAAAGATGTCGAACTTCGCAGAGAGGTACCGTACCATCGCCATCTTCATCCAACTAAACAATGCATCATAGAGGATCAAACTACTTCTGCATTCATATGTTTTATACACTACATATCATAAATATTATTAATTCGGAAGTTTGAACAATAATTCAAAGTTTCTAAAAATGTCAGTGATATTCAATAATTGAAACTGAGAAAATATGAACTGTTCACACAATCTCAAATAATAATGATTCCATCTCAACAAGAAAACTTCTTAAAACTGGTAAAACTTTCGGCAAAACCTAATCAGTTAAAAGTTCTAGCCGTTTTCACTGCAGTGTTGAAGCGTTTCGTCTACTTACAAAAATTGTTTCAAACGGCTCAAGCAAATAAAAAACTAAAAAAAACAACTATCAAAACTACTCCAATAAACAAGGAACATTCCTCCATAACTCAACCGGTATTATACCTGAGAACGATTGGTAATAACTTAGTTAAATAAATTTCAGTTTATAAGATTAATAACAACATGATGACTTCGTATCCTCAACCATCCCAGTAATTTCTGCCAAGAGAACAGCAATTTTCCATTACGACGAACATAAACTATGTAATTTTATCCCTAAGAGAAGAACTGCTTGCAGCAAATTGAAGTAGGGCAATCCGTGATCATCAAAACGAAGTAGAAAAACCGGTAATCTTCTGTTTCAAAATGCCGCCCATAAACGATGAGACCCAGAAGAATTTGAAGACATTCAGTCACCGTTTCAAAATGCTCTTATTTGCAAAATTTATCAATTTAAACCCGGCGTAGCATTACCAGCTGGCCTTAAAGTGCTCCAGATTCCTAAAAATAGTTCATAACCGTTCCTGCTCTAAGAAACGACGTACTTTTTATTGAATAAATCATCTACTACAATTAGCGATAAGTCAATATGGTTTCAGTCATTTACCTTACTTCCCCATTACCCTCAGAATAAAATCTTTCCCCATAAGTCTTCCCAATTAATAAGAGACGTCTTCAAGCATCACTAGAACACTAAACATCAGAAGCACAGTATCATCAGAAGGAAGAAACAAAGAGAGCTACAAACAACAAAGAGCTGATACAGCTTTTATAGAAGAGAGAGTTAAAACAAAGGACCGGTCAGCAGCCTGAAGGTGGATAGATAAGCGGTTACAATGTTTTACGATAGTTAAATCGTAAACTGACTAAACCAAAAATACAGAATCCCTAACTGCTAAAGTTACTAGAAAATAAAGTGGGCTTTTTGCACAAAACAGGGTGACAATACAAGGTCGACTAGGCCATGTGATATTTGTCCATACTACACGGCTCCGAAAACGTTACTCAAACTTGACTGTAAAATGTTAGTGGGCATAATTTACAACATCTTCGCAACTCATATAAGCTCAATCGCGGCGCTGACAAACCAAGAATCTCTTGTCTTAATCTTTGAAACACCAAATATTTGAGAAGGAAATAATGAAACAATATATAACCAGCAAAAGTCTGCACGACTGTAGAGACAAATATCTCTTGACAATTGGGTCGCCAAGAGTCTACCACACAATTCTCTGTACATATCCCAGCTTCAAATACTAATTATTTTTTCCCTTCTGGTGAATTCTCGTGTTCAATAAGTAGTACCCTTATGCTAAATTCTTTGACCTAAGATGATGACAATTCAAAGTCTGTTCAAGCCATCCAAGAAACTTTTTATTATCACAGTAATGACTAAATTTTGAAAGCAGTGTTCAACTGCGACAAGACGCAAACATTAAGACATTATCTGCTAAAGTTGTTAATCATAAGCAGTTGTCATAGCTAAGGATCAGTAGTGCCTAGAAAGCTAAATCGGAAGAAATTTTTTCTTTCAATAAAGATACAACTGAAAGCTAATTTACAATAAACTACAAGGAAATCCCCAATAAACTACTTCAACCTGCAAATAAACTTAAATGGATTTCGAGTAACGAAAACCTAAAAGGCCACGAATTTTTTATAAAAACCAAAAAAAAGAACTGCTGCGGTAAAAAATAGAAGGTTCTTTGCCAGGTGGCTAAAACAAATTGGTATTTAACCCTCCCTATCAATACAGCAGAAATTAAAAAAAAAAAA